TGGTGTTTTGTTCAAATTGCATAGTTATGATAAATTGCATCTGTTATGATCAAATTGCATTTATTATGCTATTATGTTAGTATTGATTACCTCAATTATGGGGTAATCCAATAGTAATGAGTTACAGTCCCAGAATGCTATAAAAAGGATGGGATGTAAACTTGGTGAGGCAGAGAATGAATGAATAAAATCTTATGAAATTTCTTGTGAGTGATTCACAAAATATGAGGGTGTGGTGCCTAGAACCGTTGATGTGATTTCAGTAGGTTTATTTGAATTTTCAACCAATAAACTCTTATTTATTTCTACTATTCGAGGCTGCTCGTCCTACATCGCACTGATTAGCGATAAAATAAGAGGAAGTAGACTTAGGTGGTATGGACATATACAACAAAGACTTAGAGGTGTTTTAATAAGAAGAGGAAAAGTAATATGTATAGAAGGTAAGACATAAAGAGGATGAAATTAACTTGGGATGAAGTTGTAGAAAATGATTTTAAAAAGTCAAATATCAGAATAGTGATTGACCTTTAATAGAAGTAGAAAAGAATGGAAAAGTGAACTCATAAGGATTTTGATGATGGCAATGGAATTCAACACAAATTAGGGTACTATGTCCTCTCTAGTTCCACTTATTTACATTGTTACTTTCTTAATTAACTTCATTGTTAGTCCACATGGGTCCCACCCAAAACTTAAGTTTTTAACTTTAACTCAATTAGATGAATTGTAATTTATTATACTTGCTCTTTTCTGTAAAAAAAAAAAAATTTCTCAATCTTTACTTTGTTTCTAATTTTTTATTCATATAATAATTATTTTTTCTGAAAGGCCCAAAAGGGTCCCAACTAGCACATATCAGTGAGTGAAATGCAACTGGAGCGTAAAGCACCACCCCTGGAAGCTGCATGCACCATCCCGTGTGGATGACGCTGGGTGGTATTCATTTACATCCAGTAATGCCTAATAAACCCTTATTCTGCAATTTCCTGTTTTCAAATTTTTTTCCTCACTTTTGATCACAGTTAAACCCTTATTCGTGATGCTGGGTGATATTTAATCTTGACATGATTGTTAGGATTTTTAAGGTTAATAATGCTTTAAATTGGTTGATACATTAGAAAATTGGTATATAAAATTGGCATACATTTTTATATGATTATGAACTTGATGGGTTTTAGAATACATTGAGCATGATGTTATCTGCATAGACTGTTAATTTGTTGGTTCATGCTGAATCTGTGGAAGACCATTAATATTGTAGAATTGATCATTCAAAATAGCATTAAAAGAACTGATGGTGTACGCAAGTATGAGTATGTAGATAATATGTATATGCAATGTGGCTTTATTGTACACTCGTTTTATAATGACATTATTGGTTGGTGATGTGGTTTTATTTAACGTTATTCTGGATGGTTTGTGGATGTTGGATTTAAGTCATACATTGAATTTAAGTACGAATTAGTCTCCAATATTTAAATTTGCAGGCATGACAGTATAAGAGCTAGGTGTTGATCACTTGATCCTCGGACATTTGGGTTATGGGCCCATCATGTTCATTAATTTTAATTCTATTTCAAATTAGATGTTCAACTTATTTTAATAAATTATATCTTTTTTAGAATTGTTGGTAAATTTACGTAAATTTTAAATAAAATAAAAAAATCTATTTTTTCTGAATTTTATAGCAATTAAAAATTAATATAAAATATATTTTTTAATTCGGTTGGACCCAAGATGGGCCCAACAGGTAGTGCTAAGTGAGTGAACCTAAGTGATCCTTTGTCGACGGCCAAGCCATCGCCCTATGACGGCGCATGGTCCCCCACCCGCCATTGCCGAGAGTGGGCATGCGCGGCCATACCCAAAATAAGTCTTCTTTCCCGTGATGACAGGAAACAACCTGCTCCACAGCTTGGACCTCTCGATCCCAAATCTCCAAAGCCACTTACCTAACAAAGCATTATTGACCACATCCACCTTTCGGATTCCCAACCCCCCCCCCCCCCCTCCTTTTTGATGGGGGTACACACCCTCTCCCAGCAAACTAAGTGGTACTTGAATTCATCACCCGAACCTCCCCACAAAAACTACTTCTGAATTACTACAAGTCTTCGAACAACTGCCAAAACACATCTCAAGCACCTCAGCTGTTCAACTTTGGCATCACAAAAGACAATAGTGTCGTCTGCAAAAAACGTGTGGGAAACAACTAACTGATTGGGCTCTCTACCCACTGAGAATCCCTGAAAAAAACTAAGCACTTTCCCCCTCCACACCAATCTACTAAAAGCCTCCATGATGATGATAAATAAAAAAGGGGAAAGAGGGTCCCCCGACGTACGCCTCGAGAGCTGGAAAAAAAGCCTGCTGGGGAGCCATTCACAAGGACAGAAAAACGAGCAGTCAAAATTCAAAAAAAGATCCACGCCCTCCATTTGTGACCAAAGCCCATTCTCTTCGTCAGGTACATCAAAAAATTCCAACAAACATGATCATATGCCTTCTCAATATTCAGTTTGCACACAACCCCTGGAACACCACTTCTCACCCTAGCCTCAATGCCAAACTGTTATTATTTTAAAATTATACATAGATGTATGCATATTTTAATTTTTATACGTATGTGCATTAATAAATATATATATAGTGTTGTGTTCTTGCTGTTTCCCTATCCAATTCTTTTAAGAAATTTCCGTATCACCAAATCTGTATCGTCTCGTGTCTGTATCAGTGTCCATATCCATGGTTAAGAAGTCTTTGTTTAGTCACCAAAACTAATGATAATGGGTTATCTTGGCTTGTATGGTTTGGCAAAAATAAATTTAGTAAGTTCGTGATCTTTTAATCGTTTTTAATTTTATTTAGGTGGTTTCACTAGCATAAACATTCCAACTCAAAAATAGAATGATCTGAAAACATGTGATGCTAGCTGTACTTGGTGGTAGTGCATTGTGAACTTTGGAAAATATATGCTTGGTCACCATGGCGTGGATTGCCAATATTGACACTGGGGGTAGTATGGAAGTTGTGAACCTTGTTTGCTAAGTATCATTAAATACTAATTCCCACTTTCAATTCATATCACAAGTTGCTTAATGCTGAATACCTTCCTTTATGAGTGACTGAGCATGGGTATTACATTGAATGACAGGTTTTGTAGCATTTGCGACACATTTCTTTAATTTCCATGACTCTGGTAACACTATTCCTGGGATCATTTTAGTTCTGGTGAGGAAGCTAATGCCAAAGCTAGTCCCAAGCAAACATTGATCAATTCAAAGTACAAAATGGAATTGTTTTATGAATTATAGGCCTATCTTTACAGAAGACAAATCTTAATTAGTTAATTTTGATGTTGCCCTTGCTGACCAAGGCCACCATAGTCTCTGGTTCAGGACTATAGTGAAGGGCTGGTTACAATCCGAAAACTTTTTGGCAACTTGTCACGACTTGGGTAGGCTTCCTCTTGCTGGTATTTGTTTTGACCCACTTTGCCGCAAGCCTTCCAGATGCCAATCCAAATGTCACTCTCAATCCCTGCCACACTACACTGCCAATTGGCTTGTTATATTGCCTACTGTATATAGGGGGCGGCTCTTGCTACATTTTCAGGGACGAGTAACAAAAGAACATACTGGACAGAATTTGACAAGAGCAGATTTTGAACATTAGGAGGGCAACAATGACCTTGGAATTCCCTTCTCTCTCTCAAGGTTGTCTCAGTTTTCAATCTATCTCAATTTACTGGGATTTCTATAATCATGTAATACATCCATCCACCTCAATAACTAAATCCAATCATTTGCCTTGTTATGCAGCTTTAGATTAATCTACTATTTCCCGATATTAAATTAATTTTTATGGAACGATTTTATGTTTGTGTACAACACTTTTGTCTGTCTTCTAAAAATTTCCTTAGAACTGTGTAATTGTGAGAAGTTGATCTATTTGAGCTGAACAGAATTGAAAAATGTAGTGTCTCTGTTATTTTTTTTCTTTTTTCTTTTTTTTTTTCTTTTTTTTTGTATGGAATAATTACCAAGAAAAGAATATTACGAGAAACAATTAATATTCTTATGGTACATTACTTCATCAATTTGGTTGAAACTTCAGTTCATTTCCTTTGAAAAATAATTCCGACTTTCCTAAGGTTGCATGAAAGGAGTCTTCATAAATTTAGCTATCTAGACAAGTCATATCCACCTGTTAATTAACATATAAAAAACCACGGTATGCAACCTCCAGGCTGATCCAATGGATACGCATGCCAAATAGGTTTAATTTAGATTTGACATAGATGATACACCACAACATTCCAACGCTTGGCATTTCCAGAAGTTGCAGACTGACATCTTGGATTGTGCTCATGGAACTGATCTCTGAGAGCAATATCCAAATGTTCTATACCTTGGGTGTTAAAAAGGGTTGCGTAGACCCAAGTTCTGGGACTCCAATCAGAGTCTTTAACTTTGAAGGTTGTGCCTTGTAGCATGGACACTTGCTTTCTTAGAGGAACTGCCCAGTTTAAAAGATACGGATCTCATCTGCTGATGAAGGTTAGTTTAGATTTGGGTTTGAATCTATGCGGAAAAATTGTGGTGTATACTTGGATTTATAAAGATGTTTTTTAGGTTCAGTTCCTATTGTACAGTAATTTTATATAAACATTTCTGGGGGTTTAATGTTCATATTAGATAAAATTCACTCATGTTTGAGGACATGGTGTATATCCAGCTTAATGTCTATTACCTACCACCTTGATGTAGATTACTAAAATATGTAGGTAATTCGGAAATTGTCCACATCAAGCAGCTTCTGTTGTCTACATATAGGCTGTAAAACACTAATGCTGTCCAATGAATAAAATATTGTATCGAGCCATTTGCATAATGTTGTCAAGTATTTCGTGCTTGATTTATCATGCTGGCTTGCTTTTAGTTTCACAAGCTAAATCTTATCTTCTCATTTTAATTGCTTTGGAATTGTACTGGCAGGATGACTTGACGACCACACTTGTACAGCAGTGTCGTCAGTCCCAATTTACTGTCCAGAGAATCATCGAATCAGGTGGGGATAATGAGGCTGTTCTCTTTGAAGCCTTGAACGTGAATGACGAAATCCAGAAAGTCCTCTCCAAGCACGAAGATTTGAAGAAGCCTTCAGCATATCCGCTGGATCCTGAACCAGCCATGATACCTGTTGCTGTCGAGCCTGATGAATCGCACCATCTCGGGAAAGAAGATGCTTTAATTAGAAAGCCCGCAGGTTCTCGTGGTGGAGCCCAGGGAGGGCACAACGATGAGATGATGGACGATCTTGATGAGATGATATTTGGCAAGAAATCTGGCGGCACATCCCAAGCAGGGCATGATACGAAGAAGTCGTCGAAGGATGATCTCATCACCTTTTGAGTTTCGTTAGGGAATTCATATATTTGGGACAGATGAAGCCTTTGATAGTATTGAGTCTGTTTAGATGTTGAAGATTTTCAAGTTTGATGAACATGACCGGTTTTTTTTATTTTGGTGGTCAAGTGGGGAGTTCCATTTCCATTATTCCTGCACATTTTGTGTAAGTAATTCAGGTGTGACCGTGTGACTTTGAATAGATAATTGTCGACAAAATATATATATAAAAAAACAGTAAAACTGTCATATTCTCCTCACATGTGGACCATGTGGTTGAACTCTGATTCTCTGCCTGTATACTACGGAGTTTTTTTTTTAGCTATTGCTTTTTATAATGGTTGTGACGAGAAGAACCTGCAAGATTAAAGCTGGGCCGGCCCGGCCCTGAGATTTTCAAAGTTTTGAGAGGCCGGCGAATTTTCGAATGCAAGGTCCACAAGGTTTCACACGAGCAAAAAATTTATATGAATGGGAAGTTTATATTAAAATTAGACGATAAACACATAAAATATATTAAGGTTAAAAATACACAAAGCAAAAATCGGTATTATGCTTTATAAAGTGCATAATTCAATTTACATTAAAATTTTAAAAATATTCAACATAATTTTGTCACAAAAATCAAAATTTAACTTCATGTCAAAGTAAATGTGATCATTTTACATTTTCAGATGCAAAATTATAAATTAAAGTACTCCAATCACTGTCATAATTTTGTTGTTGGGTTGAGTTAAAAATTTGACACTTGATTACATCCATTAGGTAAAATTTTTGTTGTTTGAACTGGGCTTAACTATCATGCATGCACGTGAGTCCAAAACTATTATAATAATAAAATAAATCAATTTCTTATTTAAATATTGTTCAAATATATATATATTTTTTTTACATAAATATTGTTTAAATATGAGTAGCATAATATGTAGGTGAACAAAATTGGTACATAACCTAAAGAATTAAAAGCTATTAGTTAGACAGAGTTAGAGGTTAATACTAGTAAATTTTATAATCTGTGCACGACCCTGGTTAATAAATTTTACAATATGTGCACGACCCCTTTTTTTTTTTGTAGTGATGAGAAATGCTAAGGACAGTCGCTAAGGAGACTGTCCATTCAATATGTGCACAGTCGCTGTTTTAATTGGTAAGTAAAATAGTAACTAATGCATTCATTAATTACAAGTTTTCAATTTTTTTAGGAATATTAAAACTTTTTTTTTTTTTTACAAAACAACCCTTTTAAGCCTTTCATCCTCTCCTCAGTTTTCACTTGATGACGTTTACATATATAGTGTGTGTGTATATATATATATATATATATATATATAAAGCATTACTTTCCTCTCTTTTTTTTCCTCTCCTTGTTCAATCCGTATGCCAATATATGTATATATAGACATATGCATATATATATATGAAGCGTTACTTTTCTTTTCTTAATTTTTTTCATTTTTTTTTCCTTGTTAGATCTGTATGGGTTACTTTCCTTTTCTTTTTCCTTGTTAGATCCATATGCCAGTTTATATATATATGTAATCCTCTCAACCATAAATTCATATATATATATATATATATATATATATATATATATATATATATATATATATAAAGGTTAAAAAAACAATTAAAAATAAAAGAGAAGAAAGAATACATTCACATATTGTTAGCTATTTCTATATATATGAATTCATGTTTAAAAAGAAAAATAACACTTTATATATATATTCATCCCTCTCCCCAGTGATATATATATATAAAGGGATGAAAGGCTTTAAAGGGTTGTTTTGTCAAAAAAAAAAAAAAAAAAAAAAAAAAATAGTTTTAATATTTCATAAAAAGTTAGAAACTTGTAATTAATGAAGGAATTAATTACAATTCTACTCACCAATGAAAACAGTGATTCAGTCACCTTAGTGACTATCCTTAGTATTCCTCATTTGTGGATTATATAATCGAAATATTTTGATTGGGATATTTATTACCTAATACAAGTAAGTAGTACAGAACTCCATTATCTTATTTGTCGCATAGATGGACGAATTACTAATTAAAATAAGTATGTTTAATAATTTACTGCAATAAATGGATGTAAGAATAATTTTTTTCTCAGAAATTAATATACCTTACCATTTGTTTCTCCATGAGAATGCCAAAAGAAGAGCGTGGTCTTCACCCTCCATGAGGGAACGTGATGTAAAGCTTTGTACTACTGATGTGAAAGCCACGACTCATTTTAGAGGAGACAGACACCCAACACATTAGCCCGGTGGTATTGCGCTAATTTCGGGTCATTATTTGCATTTTAGTCATACAAATATATATATATATATATATATATATATATATATATATATATATCTAAGTATATATTGACAGTAAATTATTAAACCCATATGAACAAAAGCAGAATTGGATTTTTTTTTTTTTTAAATAATAATAAATTAACAGCCAAACAAAGAAAATCTTGGGATTAATTGCTCATTTTTTTGTAAACTTTGGATTAATCTTCTATTACTATTGAAACTGATTGTGAACTGTTAAGAAGCTCCAAAGTTTTACAAAACTATTGAGTTTGACTTCTAATTGATCTCTCTCTTCCACTATTTGAGATTGTATATATGTTATGTAATGTACCACAATTACAAAGCGTATATACTTCTTATATATTTGGTTGAAGCCTTCAAAGTTTCCTAGAATTATTAAAGTTTGACTTCTGATCGATCTCTTCATTTCTATATGTACGTGTTCATATAATAATAATATACCACAATTATATATTGAGTAGTGATATTTTCATCGATTTATTACAGTGAATTATATTCTGATTGGTTATTTATACATAATATAATTAAGTGGAGGGCACTCCTTTATTTCTTACATAGATGGATAAATTAAAATAAATAGGTCTGACAATTTACTACAACAAATTGGTACAATAATCATTTTTCATCTTTTTATATATTTGAAATCGAGAGACAATCAAGGAAACGGAAGACATAGTTGGATAGTTTAGGTTATTTTTATAATTTTATGTATGTTGTAAATATAAGAATAAATGTACTCATACACAAATAAAGAAACAAAGAGAGACGCTTTAGAGTGAGAGAGAAATAAACTTTTTTCTATGTTTGTTGAAGTGTACAAACTAGTAATACAATATAATCCATATTTATAGCATGAGAAAGAGCATCTTCCTTGCCAATTTGCACAAATGGATGAAAGATACGCCGCTGCTAATTATATCAGTTGCTTTGTTTTGCGTGCCAACATCAAATGTGAATTACCACTTGTATTCATATTACATATGTGGGCCCTGTGTTATAACATTCCCCATTGAAGTCCACAATACTATACTGAGAATATACCTCGTTAAAATCTTATCATGAAAGTACATTGGGACAAAACCTAAGCGAAGGAAAAAGAGTACAATATTCTTGTGTGTCTGGAAAAAGTATTGCATGGTTTAGAACTGCCTTATTAAAACCTTGCCAGGAAAACACATTGGGACAAAATCTGAGTGAAGGAAAAAGAGTACAGTAAATGTCAATACCTTTTTAAGTTCTCCCCCTCATCAATGCCAAAGATCTTTAAGTTGTCGCATCTCAATACTGTGTACCAATTTCTTGAACTCCGTGGTTGTCAGTGCCTTAGTGAATAGGTCTGTTAAGTTTTTACATGAACGTATTTGCTGAATATCAATTTCACCATTCTTTTGGCATTCATGTGCATAAAAGAATTTTGGTGAGATGTGTTTCGTCTTGTCACTTTTGATATAACTCTCTTTCATTTGTGCAATGCATGCAACATTATCTTCATATAATATTGTACGGCTATCTGTTATTGATGAGAGGCCACATGTTGATCTAATGTGTTGAATTATGAATCGTAACCAAATGCATTCTCTTCTGGCCTCATGAATTGCGAGTATCTCAGAATGATTCGAAGAAGTGGCAATCATTGTTTGTTTCATAAAGCGCCATGAGATAGCAGTGCCACCAAAAGTAAACACATACCCTGTTTGTGATCGAGCTTGATGTAGGTCAAAAAGATAACCAACATCTGCATATCCAATTAACTGGGATTTTGATTCTTTTGAATAAAACAATCCCATATCAATTGTTCCATAAAGATATCACAATATGTGTTTGACTTCATTCCAATGTCTACAGGTTGGTGTAGAACTGTATCTTGCTAATAAGTTGACTAAAAAAGCAATGTCAGATTATGTACAATTTGCAAGATACATAAGAGCACCAATTGCACTAAGATATGGTACTTCCGGACTAAGGAGTTCCTTATCATCTTTTGGAGGTCGAAAAAGATCTTTCTTAACATCAAGTGATCGGATAACCATTGGTGAGCTAAAGGGATGGGCTTTATCCATATAAAAACGCTTCAGAATCTTCTTTGTATATGTTGACTAGTGGATGTGGATTCCTCCTGATAAATGTTCAATTTGCAGTCCAAGACAAAAAGTTGTCTTTCCGAGATCTTTCATCTCGAATTCTTTCTTTAAATAAGAGACAGTCTTTAGGAGCTCTTCAGAGGTTCCCACCAGATTCAAATCATCAACATATACTGCAACAATAGCAAAACATGATTATGTTTTGTTAATAAAAATACATGGACAAAGATTACTATTCACATACCCTTCTTTTATTAAGTACTCGCTGAGGCAATTGTACCACATACGCCCCTATTGCTTCAATCCATACAAGGATCGTTGTAATTTTGTTGAGTACATACTACGTGGTTTTGTATATGGCATTTTGAAACCGTCGAGAATCTTTACGTAAATATCATTATCTAGTGATCCATATAAGTATGTCGTTACCACATCTATTAGATGCATATGCAATCTTTCTATGACTGCCAAATGTATTATGAATCTAAAAGTATTTGCATCCATTACTAGAGAGTATATTTCATCATAATCAAAACTAGGTCTCTGTGAGAAACCTTGAGTTATCAGTCGAGCTTTATATCTCATAATTTAATTTGTCTCATTATGTTTGTGTACAATACCCATTTGTATCCAACAGGCTCAACATGCTAGGGTGTTTGGACGATTGGTTTAAATACTTCTCATTTAGCTAATGAACTTAGTTATGCCTGTATTACTTCTTTCCATTTTGTCTAATCATTTCTTCGTCAACATTCTTTGACATTTCGAGGTTCCAAATCCTCATTTTGAATATCAAGAGTAACGGAATATGAGAATATTTTATCGACAACAATTTCATTTCTATTCCATTTT